TATATATATATATATATATATATATATATATATATATGTACATACATATATATATATATATGTGTGTGTGCGTATGTATGTATGTATGTATATATGTGTGTATGTGTGTGTGTATATAAGAGAGATCTCGAGATACGCTAATCGATCATATCACTGATTGCGACACGACTAACGCCCGCTTTTGTGAATACCAATTAAATCTTAAGTCGAAACTCTCTGTTCAGGCAAAGACTTGAATTAAGGTTTAAACGACGTTGGCAAAAACGAGCGTAGGTCGACCGTACATCATATTTACAATTACAACGAAATGTCGCGCAGTAAGGCCATTTATATAGAAAATAATTTAATGTATTTTTTCCGTTTTTTTTTTAACATGTGTTATACTAACAAAAATAACTTGTTAATTTTGGTATATAAAGGAAAAATCAGCGAAACAAGTTAGGACATATTTATATCAAGATTGTTAATACAAAGTACATGATACTTTGCTAGCACTGTTCATTGATAATAATGAATATTTACAGGAGATCACATATAATATAGTTAAATTATAATTTCTACTATAATCATTAAAAATTGACTATACATCAATAAAAAAATGTTTTGTTATTATTTTAAGTGAGAAACTCGCTTTACTGTAACTAACAAAAAATTGACTACCTGCGTTCGTTGAAGTTTTGTGTGAAATTTAAAAGAAATTGCATGCCTCGTGGCGCACGTTAAACGGTAACGCGTGAGAACTTCACCTGTGTAATATCGGCGATCACCTTCGCAAATTATAGTTGCGTGATTGTGTGCCGGGCGATATAATGACGACGGATTACACACAGCACTATGATTTACGCTCATGTTATTAATTTGTTGACTTCCGCTCGCGATTACTGCCGCTTCGATTCGTAAAGTGCGTTTTCTGCCGATATTAGCGAGAGGTGAGGGCGAGACCAGCTTCTTGGATGAACGCGATCACCGACGGACGGAGACTATCGTTACAATTGTAACGATAGATGTATTGTACATACGTATATATATACATATATATAGGAAGCGCACCAAGAGAGATGATACGCCGTAGACGTCCATCGCGGTTAACTTCTATCTCTTTATATTATACGGTAGTTTTATCATTGACGTCTCTAGACGTGCCCGATAAAGTGACGGGGAAATTGATGCATGCGTATTGTAGTAGCTATTCCCGCTAATTGCACATGTATGTATACAGGGTGTCCAATAAGACACAGAGGAGCCACGGTGTACATGTAAATTAGGTCAAATTAAACCAAAAATTCACCTACCATTTTGCGAAAAATCACGTAAAATTCTAAGCTATTAATCGAAGAAATTTCATGAATGATCGAAGTATCACATGGTAGATGAGCTATGATGACGGTCTATCGCTGTATGCTATCAAAAAAGATTGGCGTACAATTATGCATGATGATACACCAATCTTCTTTGATTAATAATTAAACATTTACGTGATTATTTGGAAAGTGACAGAAAACTTTTTTGTTCAGTTTGATTTAGTATACAAGCATACAGCAGCAGACGTCGCACTCATCTGCCGTATGGCTTGTGTACCAAGTTCTGAATTTGTATGGCGTGTAAACATTCACGAATCTTCTTTGATTATAACTCAAAATTTTACATGGTTGTCCACAAAATGGTAGAGAAATTGTTTATTCACTTTGACTTGATCTACTTATCGCGACTCCTCCATAAGTTCTCAGACACCCTGTATATATGTCTATGTGTGTGTGTGTATTTGCATACATATATACATAGACGGACGCGAAGGGGTAGCGACGGATGTACTTAACCATCGCCCGTTGATCCATGTGTAAACCGTGCGTTCCTTTTTAATTAAGACTAATGTTGTTGCAAGGATTTTTTAAGAAAACCGATTTTAATCATTCTCTTTTTAATAATTCGCAGAAGATAGACTTTCCCACGGGATTTGTTTAAAACTTTATCGAAGAAAAAGTGTCGCAGTCATTTTTGTCACCGGCGCTTTCAGAAATCACGATTGGAGAACATAATGGCAAATGACACGAGTCCAGCGTGAGGAAAGAGAAACGCACGGGTATCACACACGATCACGTCTACATCGGCAAGCCTAGACTGACTTCCATATGTATTATATACAACTATAAATAATCGCGTCGCTACATTGTTATTAGCTAGCAATAATAAATGCCGGGGATTCGCCAGCTGATTTGTTACGGTATGGTATGAGAGAGATGGTTAACAACGTATTTTAATTTACGTTGTGTGCTATTGTAAATTTATGTAATTATGTAATCGCCTCGTAGAACGAAATATAATATGGTCACGTTACGCACTGATGTGTAAATAACTTCATAAGCGCTCTCTCTCTCTCTCTCTCTCTCTCTTTTCTTTTTTTAACAACTTCTGTATCGCATCTGTGATCATCATTCCTTGATAGCGCGTTATTTCGCCCACAATTTATGACACTCGTCGACGGTCTAATGTGTTTTCCTCGCAAATAAGCTGTCGCGTTATAGCATGAATGAAGTTAGATTAGTGGTTAACACAGTGCACTTGTTTCTACTAAAAATATTTTTCTTCATCACCAAGTTACGGTTTCTTATCTACCTCGTCGCCGGGAAATCCTGGCTTATCCACAAGCCACCATCTACACGTGTTACAATGGCCGCCTTTGTTAGAACAGGACAGCAGTCAAGTTGATTATCTCTTTGCGATAAAATTAAATTGTTACGAGTTTTCTATGAGAAACATGTGTAGTTCATAAATAGGGAAAAATATGACTCTTACGAAAACGAATTTAATGCAGAAAAAACTGCAAATAAGAGCTTTGCGCCACAGTTATACACAGCGTATAAAAGTTATGCGCCAATAACCATTGATTCGTCACTCCTTTCCATATTGAATTCATGATATATTGTTGCAAATGTATTAAATGTCAAATATGCAGCATTATACTACGTGATAGACCGCACAGTGAGTTGCGAAACTGTTTAGACGCAAAGAAGTTGGGAGCTTTTATCAAACTATCAAAACTGAGAATCATTACCGACGGAATTATGCAATAATATAATTAAGAACACAACAATCATATTATATTATATGCGATATATTATATTATATTAATAATAATTAATAATAAAATTACTGGGCAAGAGTCCATTAATAATAACTATCAGCTTTAACAGTGAGCTCCCAACTTCGCTGTGTCTAAACTATTTGGACCCGCTATGTCGCAACAACAGAATAATTCGATAATCGCAAAGCGGCTCGCAAGAGCACTGCATTTTCCGACTCGAATCCGTTGAAAAAAGCAGAGCGGGCTTAAGAAGCAAAACAGTATTGCAAAGTCGCAATTTCATAACGTTTAACCGAAAATTTCGGCGACGCGCCCCGACACCCCGCGCATTCATATCTCGCGCGTCACACGCCATCGATAATCGCGCACGGCGAGAATTCACCCCGCGCCTATCTCGGCCTACTTCATCATCGTTATCACGTAATGGCGCGCGGCGCGGCGCGGGGCTGCTCCTTTTCGTGTTTACCGTTTCGTCATTCGCAAGTGTGATTGCGCGGCGACTGCTCGACACGCGCGAGCACGTGGGTCGCATAACGCGCGCTCCCGTATCGGAGGCGGACGCGTTCTCGCGCGATCTCGATTGGAACATTCGCCGCGTTTGACAGATCCGCGCGCGCGAGAGGGAAAAGACCAGGGCAGTTGCCGCGGAGTGGGGGAAGAGGCAACGTCAAAGCGCGTTGCGTCGCTCGCGACGGCAGTGAAGTTAGTCAACTGCGCGGCGTCACGCGAGGCGCTTCGCGGAGCCACGTGACGTACGCATAACGCTCGCGAACGTTACCGGCGCGCTGCACTCGTCGTCGCATCGTCCTCGAGCGAGACTCCCAGTCGTCGTCGTCGTCGTCAGCAGTCGTCATCGGCCGAGCGGGAGCACCTGCGGCATCGTCCACTTTTTCGCGAGTAACCAAGAGAACAAGTGCGGTTCCCACCATGGATCGATCGTCGAAATTGCTGCTGCGAAAGGTCATCGTGGACTTCCTCTTCCTGGCAGTCTGTGAGTACAATATCCATGCGATATTCGCGCGTCGCGAGCTGAGCTCGTGCGAAGCTTTCTTGTCGTTAAACTCGATCCCGAGCCAATAAACGTGACTGTGTCGTTGACATCGAGCGGCTGTCAGATTGACAAGCGAGGCGCCAAGAACGCGCGCGCGCGGCCTGTTTGATGTGCGGGAGCGCGCGAGAGGTTAACTTCGACAACAAATGGACAGGTGCGCGTCGTTCGTGTCAAATGCACGATGTTGTTGACGTTCTGTCGGTCGATGCTGCACTCGACAATACTCCGCGATCACTTCCGCGAATCGCTCCAGTAATCCTTTTGTGTATGTGTGTATATATGCGAGTTGTTTGCGTAGGAATGTGAAAGGAGAAGAGGATGGAGAGAGAAAAAGCGCGTAAACGTACGCGTCGAAATAACGCAGGATTTTCACGTACCGCTCTAGAACCGCGGATCTTGATGAAAGCTACGTTTAATTTGTATATGCGAGGTGGTTTCTAAAGAGAGTTACTTGATCACGTTTAGGGGAGAAAGCTTCTTTGCAACTGCTCGTGAATTGCAAAAACTCGTGAATTTCATCGGTATGTGCTCTTGATCTTGGCTTGATCTAGTAGCATGTATCAGGCAGATTCACAATTTTGCAATGGTTGCAAAGCAGCTTTCTCTGCTGAATGCAGCCAGCCATTGCCTCCGCGACATTACCCGAAAGTCTGTTCAGTGGAAGACATTTTCAAAATGGTGAACTTGAATGTTTATTCGATAAGCGGACCTGTATGATCGTATATTCGACTTAGATTCTTCCAAATCAGGTACTCGATCTTTGCAAACAGCGCGGTGTTTTGCGCAGAATTATTTGGAAAGTAATGAAATTCTCAATGGCAATCGTGCGCGAAGATGTTTACGGTGATTTCTTGAAATTTATGCGATCCTTTCCCCGCATGTATGCGGAATTTCCAAGAGAAAAGGAACAAAGGTGTATGAATAATTCATATTGCACGCAACACATATTGTAATTCATCGATAAAAACGATTACGATTTCCGAGTTGATTCTACACTCGAGACGCGATTGATGAATGGAAAAAACGACGAATCATCGTGGAAACATTCACTACTTGCGGAAATATTTCCTCATATGTTTTCGTATCCGAGCACATTGGTTTTATTTACAATTAGGTCACGATACCGAATACACGATACGAAATAGAAGCGGCGTGCGCTGCGCGCGACTCTCTCACGAGGAATCGCGAGTATCCCCAATGCTCTTGTCGTGCTCGGATTAATAACATTGCTAAATAGAAGCCGTGGAGAGCAAGATAACGCGCGCGCGAGCAAATAGAAACGACGAATCGCTATTCGATACGCCGTTTACTCGTCGGCAAAACGCGCGATCGCCTAAATACACGCGATTTCTTCCCGCGAGGTAAGCGCGCGTTTTTTGCATCGCGTTTATCGGTTCCCCGCACGATAACAATGTATAATGGCGCGTAACGCGTTACGGTATTTCGCAGGGCGCGTACATTGTAAACAGCGCGAGATAGAAGCAGCGTCGAGAGAGCTCGATCGATTTCATCTCGCCAGCGGGGTGACACAGTTTCCCCGATATGAACAGACGATACGACGCCTTTGTCTCGCGAATGACACATGTCGATATTTGGAAATCTCGTTAAATTTGCACGTCATAAAGAGAGAGAGAGAGAGAGAGAGAGAGAGAGAGAGAGAGAGAGAGAGAGGGAGAAACAGAAATAGACAGAGAGAGAACTCATGTGAGAATTCGCATTGTCTTCTAAAGTTGGACAGTGAAAACATCAGGTTTGCTCTGTAGAACATTTAAAAACATTTTTGGGACATCTTATACTTAATTTCATTTTTAATATCACGTCATACACACCTTTGTATATTTGTATACATCTTGCAAGATAACAAAATGCGACTTTTTTTATCAAATTATCTTTTTTTATCGAATTATCTTTCGATTAATTCGCTTATCAAACCGATACATTCCGATATTTTTTATGATATGACGACGATCCCCTCCCCCTCGAGGATAAAACCAGAACAATATTTAGAATAGGATTAACTTGTTCTTTCTTTTACCGCGATACCCACATTGCAAGAAAATTGTATGAAACCGCGAAATGTATGACGAGATGTGAGAAATTACCGCTTACATAACACACACTTTAAAATTCGTGTCTTTTGACTTTATAAACGCGTTTTTTAAAAACGAGCTCGTTAATTCTTCTCCTGTGACGAGTCGCAGCTATTATTATACACGAGGCTCTGTTAAATCATTGTTTCGTTGCAAACACGTAATTCCGACGCAATGCTCGGTTAGCTAACTATTTACCATTACTCATCGTATATGTACATCGATGTTTTCATTTAATGGAGATCTCAAGTCGATATTTTAGTCTTATTTTTGATCTGAACTTTTTAATATCTGTATATTCTGAAGAATCAGTGTATGTTTAATACATAACTAATACATAACTTTAATACAAAACTATAGTTCTACTTAGCGTCTCTAACTGATAGAAAATTCTCAAAATACCACTTGTAGATTCTAGAAAGTACCTTTCGACAATGTTAGTGAAGAAAAAATATTTAGGAAATAAAAAATGTTTATTTGACGGGCACTAATAACATATATTTACTTGTAACTATATTTGTATAAAATATTTTTCAGGTAAAAAAATAAACATTTTTTGAGAACCTTAGTTTTAGAGAGTTTTAATTTTTTATTGTTTATTCTATTTAAATAAAAGAATTTAGATTTAAGTAAATGTGTTATTTTTTGGTACTCACCGAATAAATATTTTCTTATCTTTTAGATACTTTCTCTCTTAATGTAGGTTAAGTAGAATCAAAAGAGATTTATATAAACTTCAGAATATCAAAGTAGCTAAATGGCATATTAATGTCGAAAGTGAGATAAAAATTTCGATTCAAGATTACTTTATTGTTGGTGTAAAAGATTTGTCATTTATCTATAAAACTCAAGAGATAAATGACAAAAGATTTGTCATTTATCTATTAAACTCTCTTTGAAGTTTGGGTATCAGAAAGGAAATAGGAAGTTCTCATTAAATCCAAAAAAAATACCGACTCAACGTTGTCCATTTTTCGGAAAAAAATCATCAATTGTTCGAGATTGGACAATTTCGTTTCTCTATTTTATTCGACAAATCTTTCACACAATCTAATACCTCAAAATTGAGTACCTGCAACTCGACTCGATCTTTTCTTCTGGTGCGACCGTTAAGAGCATGACTCGCGGCACGGAAAAGATCGCGCCTCGTGATTCTCACGCTTACGCACAGGTATAAATAAATGTGTACGGTGAGCGATCCCCGAACAAGTCGCTCGTCCGTCGTTGATCTATCTCGATGGGAAGACCTTGACTATATAGCCCGCCACTCCGCCGGAGATTAATAAATTCTTACGAGGCAGGCAGGCAGACACCGGGGCGCGGGGAATAGGTGGGTGGGTGGGTGAGAGTCTGGACCGACGTGGCCGTCGGTCTGCTTAGAATCAATTCGGGGCCGAGGTCGTTATCCTTGGCCGGCGGCCGACGTTACGCGAACACCGCCATTTTTCGCGAGTCCGATTTAATAATCGGGCCTTTTCAGTGTTCGTTAACGAACACGCCAACCCGACCCCTCGAGTCGGGCGAGCCGAGACGGAGAGAGGGCCTGTGAAAAGGCCTGAACCTGCGACACTAGTTCGCCGAGTAACGAGCGTGTCGGCCCATTCACGAGATCAGCGAAGATTAGACGGCTGCGAGAGAATCGCAGCTCCGCCCTGATGAATATACATAAGTCTATTAAATTAGACTCCCCCTTATCCCGCCATCTCTAAGCCTTCTCTTTGACCGGGTATATCGTTTCAATTATCGACTGCCCACGCGCGCGCGCGCGCGCGAAGAATTGATAATCTTTTCGGGATAATCGCTCTCCCTCTCTCTCTTTTCACTTCTCCCCCCTCTCCCTTGCCACTGTCTCTCTCGTTGATCGGCTCGAGAATTTATGGTGTTTGTATTTCGCAATGCACCTCTCGTACGGATCGCAATTTTGTCCAGGCAGATTTATGCGGGCGATTGTCCGCGCATGATATATAGCAAACAAGAAATAAACGTGTCTCTCTCTCTCTCTCTCTCTCTCTCTCTCTCTCTCTCTCATATACACATATAAGTAGCGCATTCTTCGAGAGCGCTCTCGAGAGTGTCGATTTTTCGTTAACGACCGTTTCGTCGCTACCGTTTTCAGCGTGTTGCATAATGATAGAGACGACAGGAGCGATGAGAGTGATGGCGAGTAATTAAGTTCGCTGAGATAAACCGTGAACGCGTGAAGCCTGTTTATTTAACATCGTAAATTAAAGCATGCGACGCTGCGTTCCTTATTAAGGACGATGGGTTTTGCATTCCCCTGTCGTTACCGCCAATGAGAGAAAAAGACGTTTTCGTAGATAACTTTCTAGCTACTGGCAGAGTTTTGTGTCTCTAACTTTTGCGTGCGAATGACTATCTTATGCGGATTTGTACAAATTTTGTGCAATATTAGATTCTTAGAAGTTGCATAACTACGATTTCGAGTGGCAAAAGTGACGGTTTCACAACTCTACGACTGAATATCGATATACAAGACCGTAGAATACGTACACACCGTGTGTCGACACACGGTTATCTGAAATATTTAAATTATGGCCGTGACGTGCTGCACATCAATGTCAAGTATTCGGAATACCGCCTTGACAATCAAGCTTCGAAGGAAACGTATTAATAATATATAAGAGTCGTTGGATACGAGTCTGTCGACACAGGATAGACACCGGACAGTTTCTACGTCCGCATGCCTAGCCATTATTTTAAATTGCGAGCATTACTCGTGTGTGTGCGTGTGTGTATGTGTGTGTATTCAGATGTTACTAATCAACCGATATGAAGATATGAAGTGTTATAGATAATTCACAAATAAGCAAATACTCAAGATCGCCGATA